AATGTAAGCCCTAACTAATAAAATTTACAGGATGAGACACAAAATATTTCTCCTCAAAACTGAATCCAAACATTAGGATAGCTTGGGAAGTCACCGGAGTTCTCCTATGAATCCATGAAAACCCCTAGTTCTTCTTCCTTTGGATTCTACAATAAAATGTTCCAAATTTAAACCAATCTCCTTGCACACCTCTATGTCCGATTTCGTTGAAGAGTCCTACCCTTTGAAATTCCTTGAAGATAATATGTCCTGATTTTTATCGAGAGTCTTCTTAAGTGACTTTGTTCATTTAAGATGTAAGGATGTAATTAACTATAAGGACTTGCCCTTATAGGAAGCATGTCTAAACCCAGCTTAATATAAACCCTATTTAATCCTTTATATTAAATAGGGGAAGTTGTCGGCAAATACAAAGGTTTCGCAGACCAAACAGACGTCTTACTTTCCTTAGTTTACTTGATCGAGCCTCATCCTCAATTCTTGTGTTTATCCTTCGGGATAGATACAGGATTTGAGGTACAGTGTTCTTTCATTTTAAACTACAAAAATTATGGGGTTAGTTTGATTTCATACTTCAACGTCCTTCCGAAGCGGGTGATGGGATTTCGATTCCAGCGACCGAAAGCTTTACGGGCAACCTCACAAACCAATCCCCAAAATAACGCCGACAATGTATCAATTTAAAGATGTGAGAATTGAAACGTAGGTGTCAATTCAAAGATGTGAGAATTGAAACGTAGTTATCCATTCAAAGATGTGAGAATTGAAATGTGGGTATCCATTCAAAGATGTGAGAATTGAAATGTGGGTATCAATTCAAAGATGTGAGAATTGAAATGTGGGTATCAATTCAAAGATGTGAGAATTGAAATGTGGGTATCAATTCAAAGATGTGAGAATTGAAATGTGGGTATCAATTCAAAGATGTGAGAATTGAAATGTGGGTATCAATTCAAAGATGTGAGAATTGAAATGTGGGTATCAATTCAAAGATGTGAGAATTGAAATGTGGGTATCAATTCAAAGATGTGAGAATTGAAATGTGGGTATCAATTCAAAGATGTGAGAATTGAAATGTGGGTATCAATTCAAAGATTTATGTGCAGGATGTGTGATTCTGGGAGGATGTGCATAGAGTTAGCGTATATAACGATGGTTGTGTTGCGCGCACAAAGAGTAGGAAATTCCAAAAATGGAAGTATCCACTCAACAGGTTTGTTTTATTTTCTTGTCGTTTTTATCACAATTGATTTTTTTTAAATGCATTTTTAAAGTTTTAATTTTAATTGGTTGATTTTTTTTAAAAGAAATATGTTTTGTTATTTATTCATTTATGATTATCTTTCATTTGTTTTTTATTTATTGTTGAAGATTTTTCATTTTGTTCTTTGTTCATTGGAACTCTGAACCATTGCATGGTTCGCGGCTTTCATCCATCGCACAAAAAGGCAATTGACAAAAAGGCACAACTTGAGAGAAATTTCCATTAATCTGCTTCAATAAAGATGCTACAGATCAAACATAGGCTAATGCCTCAAAAAGGGTACATGATGTAATACATGCTGAAATACATTGAGAGTCATCTCAAGATATGAGTACATCATAGACTGATTACATCAGATACATGTCATGTTGTTAAAAGAAAGCAAGTGAATCCTTTGTGTCTGGTATATTGAGCTCCTGATCAAGCAGACCTTCTGAGTCATGCTCTAGGATAAGAGTTCCCTTCGCATGTATTTGGAGGTACAACCTTCTCATAGCTCGTAAGGAAACAGTTCCTCCAATTCCGGGTCCTGCTGGAATCCATATGGTATTTTGCTATCATCCATCTTGCGGAAGGTTACGGACACCCTACGGTGTCGTACTCCTGGAATGCAATGCTTGGCAATGTCTGCACCGTCGCCCTTAAGAACAAGTACTGAACCAACTGGAATAGGGATCTCCACAGCCCCTCTGAATTTTCCAGGGCCGATTACATAGATTGCTTTTCTAAAAAGAATATTGCTCTTACTTATGAACGAGACCGTGTAGAAAGGCCTCACAAAGTCATGATGGTTAATGTGTGGGGGAATGCAATCATCCTCTTCATAAATGTTGATGATACAACTGTTGGGAATGCAAGTAGCGGGTAGAATATTCCACTTAACCATTCTAATGATCATCCATTTTATCATTGGTGGTAATGGATCCACTTGGTCATATCTGAGGATCCCGGGCTGATTTCCTTGTTTGTCGTTCGTAAAATTATAGCAACAGCTGCACTGGATGATGATTCTTTCCTTTCCCCGCATCCATTTCTTTGGCTCAGAATACGTCCTCTTTGTGAGAAGGCCCGCTCGACCTCTATCCCTTAAATCGAAGATGCAATCCAAAATTCTTCTTTCATCGGTTTCAGATAAAACCCTGGTATATAGCTCTAGGCCCTCCAATATTTTGATAAACTTTCCCTGAACCTCTTCATAGAACTCGAATTCTCTTTTGTTTACTTTGCTTATTTTGTAGTATTCCACCATACCGAGAGTTGGAAGCTACCTGGGGCGTTCCTTCCCCCCGTCCTCGGCGGGAATCCAAACTAGTGCTGGTCGATCCGGAATATGAGATTCAGCCTCAAGTGGGATGTATGATCCTGAGCTCCGTGGTGCGCGCTGATCCGTCCCCAGGGGGACATACGGTTCATTTGCCACAAAATATGGAGTCTGAGACTCTTTGGAGCTTGAAGTGTATTCTTCTAAGGTACGGAAATGTTGTAGATGCAGAACATCACAGTCCGGGCATTCTACGAATGCGCCCGTGACTGATGTCCCGGCTGGTACCTCAACGTTGAATGTTGGGCAACCTCTGCATAAGATATCCGAAACCGGGGGCACATCTGATCCTGTCACAAATCCTGACTCTTCATCTGTAGTGGGCAGGCTGGCAGAAGTTTCTCTCAGCTCTGGTTCGTAAATATGTCCTTCATAAATGGGGGTAAGATAACTGCTCACGTCTCTTTGGTGCTTGCGCTCCTGTCGCAAAAAGGCTCTTTGTTTCTTTCGGCTTGCATTTTTGCGTTGCGTCCGGCGGAGTGGAGTATTTGGTAGTTGTTTACTGTGGGAGGCTATTAAGCCCCTTGCTGGAGTAGCTATCATGGAGGGCAGTCGGCTGGACCCCTCCATCGGATCTTGTTCCACTATCACATTTTTACCTTTACGTGACACATCGTCTTGAGTGGTCACCCTCAACAGTGAAGGCAGTCCATTCTTTTCTTCATTGCTGACTACGTCCATTAGAGGACCATGGTAGTCCATATCAATCTGGTTGAAATCCATGTTGAAATCTATGACACCTCCTTGTGGCGCCATCTCTTCTTTCAAGGCGAGGTTCCAGCTGTCTTGGAAAGCGAAGATCAGCGTGTGTCCTGACATTTTTTCTGCAGACAACAGAAAGAAACGTTAGTGGGCCGAAGTTTGGTATAAACACAAGAACAAAACAGAGTATCCATTAAGGTAAATTTTAGTTTGTTTTGGTGAAAAGGATCACTCATTTTATGTGTAAGTTTTGTTTAATTTAATGTAATATTTAAATTCAAAAATAGAAAAGGGAACATGTGAAGTTCAAAAATTTTCTGAAAATCTTCATTATATATGAGATTAATTACAAACTTTGGACCCGGTCATAGAAATATGGCCATATAGATAACCCTAGAACAATCAAAGTTCTAAAGTTATAAAGGAAGCAGAGAAGGAAGCAGAGGCAAGCGGAGGCAGGCGACATCAGGCTGCGGAATAGGTTTATAGGTATCGTCCATTTATCGGTAACATGGGTCTTTCACCCCGGAAGTCCACTAACTGATATGCTCCTCCTGTATAAACTTCTCAATGATAAATGGTCCCTCCCAAGTTGGCTCAAATTTTCCACCTATTTTGAATGTCCTTGGGCGGACCAATTTGTCATGGGCTTGTACCATCTTTGTCTGGTAGAGCTCCAAATGTTGTTGTGCTTCCAATTGTTTTCCCTCGAGACTTTCCAGTTCCTAAATTCTGAGTTTTGCACTTTCTTCCGTTGTGAGTTGATTGGCAACGACGACTCTGAGAGATGGTGTCTGGATTTCTACCGGTAGCACAGCCTCGGTCACAGCCTCGGTCCCGTACACGAGCCGTACACGAGCGTATAAGGTGTACACTGAGTGGGAGTCCTGAAAGTCGTCCGGTAGGCCCACAAGGCTTTTAACAATTTGTTATGCCAATCTCTTTTATTTTCATCCCGTGTTTTCTTCAAAATCTTTACTAGTGTCTTGTTGAAAGCTTCAACCAGTCCATTTGCTTTGGGATAGTAAATTTTTGTAGAGTATCTTTCTATCCCATGTCTTTTGAAGAAATTGTTGATCTTTGTACTTCTAAAAGCTGTCTTATTGTCGAAAATTATTCTTCGCAGTACTCTAAAATGGTAGATAATTTAGCTTTTGAAAAATTAAAGGACATGTAGTGCCATAACCTCACGTAACGATACTGCCTCTACCCATTTGGAGTAGTAATATGTAGCGGGAAGTATGAACCTGTGTTCTATAGAAGATGGACTATTATGTATCTGCCCCAACACTCGAATGACCACGAGGCAACAGTTGGGCGCAACACATTCGAAGGTTGCAAGGTTGCTGTAAGACCACCCCATTCACTTGGCATTGGTGACATCTTCTGGTTGTATCCATGCAATCAGACATCATTGCTGGCCAATAATATTCGGTCTTTTGATTTTCATTTTAATTTTTAGTCCCGACTGGTCAGCGCCACACAATTCGACATGCACTTCTTTGACAATATTCTGTGCCTCGGCTCTGCTCAAACCCCGTAGCCACATTTGGTCG